AGGATACATTAGTAGTCCACTTCTAAAGGGTCGAGATATACGTGACACTGTATTGTAATCAAATGAATGGATTAGAATAAGAAAAATATTTTAAAGGATACATTAGTAGTCCACTTCTAAAGGGTCGAGATATACGTGACACTGTATTGTAATCAAATGAATGGATTAGAATAAGAAAAATATTTTAAAGGATACATTAGTAGTCCACTTCTAAAGGGTCGAGATATACGTGACACTGTATTGTAATCAAATGAATGGATTAGAATAAGAAAAATATTTTAAAGGATACATTAGTAGTCCACTTCTAAAGGGTCGAGATATACGTGACACTGTATTGTAATCAAATGAATGGATTAGAATAAGAAAAATATTTTAAAGGCTACATTAGTAGTCCACTTCTAAAGGGTCGAGATATACGTGACACTGTGTTGTCATAACAAGAAACAACGTATGGTTACCTGAAAAACAAAGATAATTTGGCATTTACAGCTCAACAATCTATGGATCTTTGAATGATAACGATTTTTTTTTATTTGTTGGTCAAACACCTTTAATTTAATTTAAGTGTTCACAAATAATGCTATCGCTCTCCTTGCAAGTAAACGATGCTTGTTTAGATATAGAATCAGAAAACTGAAAAGTTCACTGGACCATGATTGTTAACGGCTATATTTGTAAACTATTTGAATAATCTCTGAGTGAAATTTTAAATCTTCCTTTATTTCATCTAACCCTAGATAGACTGTCACTGTTTTGTTTTAAAGTTTACCTTAGATACACAGTCACTGTTTTGTTTTAAAGTTTACCCTAGATAAACAGTCACTGTTTGGTTTTAAAGTTTACCCTAGATAAACAGTCACTGTTTTGTTTTAAAGTTTACCCTAGATAAACAGTCACTGTTTTGTTTTAAAGTTTACCCTAGATACACAGAGTACCTAGAAGTTTGGCTTATAAACGAAGGGTACCTAGAATTTAATTTATACACGAAGAGTATCTAGAAGTTTAGCTTATAAACGAAGAGTATCTAGAAGTTTAGCTTATAAACGAAGAGTACCTAGAAGTTTAGCTTATAAACGAAGAGTATCTAGAAGTTTAGCTTATAAACGAAGAGTATCTAGAAGTTTACTTATAAACGAAGAGTATCTAGAAGTTTGGCTTATAAACGAAGAGTATCTAGGAGTTTAGCTTATAAACGAAGAGTATCTAGAAGTTTGACTTATAAACGAAGAGTATCTAGAAGTTTGGCTTATAAACGAAGAGTATCTAGGAGTTTAGCTTATAAACGAAAAGTATCTAGAAGTTTGACTTATAAACGAAGAGTATCTAGAAGTTTAGCTTATAAACGAAGAGTATCTAGAAGTTTGGCTTATAAACGAAGGGTACCTAGAATCTAATTTACAAACGAAGAGTACCTAGAATTTAATTTATAAACGAAGGGTACCTAGAATCTAATTTACAAACGAAGAGTACCTAGAATTTAATTTATAAACGAAGAGTACCTAGAAGTTTGGCTTATAAACGAAGGGTACCTAGAATCTAATTTACAAACGAAGAGTACCTAGAATTTAATTTATAAACGAAGAGTACCTAGAAGTTTGGCTTATAAACGAAGGGTACCTAGAATCTAATTTACAAACGAAGAGTACCTAGAATTTAATTTATAAACGAAGGGTACCTAGAAGTTGGGCTTATAAGGTATCTAAAGATTTGACTGATTAATCCAAAATATATTTTATGAAGAGTACACACTTATCTTTAATTAGCTGCTTCTCAAAATGCCAACTAAACGGTCAACCCAGTAATAAAGACGAAGTTTTTCATATGGGCTGACATAGAATTCTAAAAGTTAGAAAAACTGATAAACAGAAACTACAGAACTAGAGAATGGAGTAAACAGAAGTTTCTCTTGTGGATATAAACGGTAACATTTATCACCATTAGGAAAATTAATAAGGTAAACAGAAACTACAGAACTATGGAATGGAACAAATGAGAGTAGAGGGCACTCAGTAGAGCGCATTCCTCCACTACGCAGCGTTAATCATATTCGACTCTTAAAAAATACGCAAATGTGTCCGTATGTCCGTCGTTATCAACAGACAGAACCATTTTTGGCAGGACAATGAGGAACAATATGTTCACCAAGTTTCATCAAAATCCAATCATTTTTGATTGAGTTATAGAGCAAAAATAGTGTGAAAAATCATGACCTTGCTGTGACTTTGACCTTGACCCTCCAAAAACTGAATACTTTTAAATCGCGTCATAGTCGAAAAGTATACCAACTTTCTTCCAAATCCATTTAGCCGTTCTCGAGAAATCTTGCTGACAAACACACAAACACACACAGTGGTGAAAACATAACCTCTGTCAACCTTCGGAGGTAACTACAAGACAGATAACATGTACCATAATTTGACCTGGCTTTTGTTTGAATCTCTGTCACCGAAAATGCTCACCCTTGCAGCCATGAGGGCATTATAATGTTATTATTATTCGTTGGTAAATGAGTAGCCTAAGAGTTGGCGGTGGGTGATGTTGACTAGCTGCCTTCCTTCTAGTCTATCACTGCTAAATT